GGGGGGGGGGGGGGGGGGAAGCAAAAAAGCAAAAAAGCACCTCAGGCAGCTGTGAGAAGGGTGAGGCAGAAAGCATTTCAGAAGGTACATTATCTTTCCCAACAGTGCCCTCTGGTGTCCATATCGTGGCTGAAGAGAAGGTAGATTTCACGCTAGTGGAAAAGCCCTCTTTACTAAATAAAATTGATGTTATTTCTTCTTCTAGGCTCTAGACAAGTTAGAAAATGGAAAGCAAAGAATTAAAACAGTAGAAGACAAAACAGCACTGACCTACAAAAGAAAGGAGAGGTTAAGCAAGAAAAGAAACAAACAGGACAACGAAAAGAATATATTTCTGAAAGAATTATCCAAGATCAAAATCAACTGTGCTCTTAAACAGAAAAATGTGATAATACAGCAAGACCTAGTGACAGAAATGTGTTGTCTATCACAATCACAATATTTTACCATACTAAGATACTAGGTACCCACAACTCTATTGCTTTTACACATTATTTCAGACTGTAAAGATATGAAGTGTTAAATGGAAAGATTCAGCAAAACTTTCCCATACCTCTTAATGCAAGGGTAATAGTTTACTAACAGATTCAATTTCAGATTCAGTACTAGGAGTATTTCTTCTTTAAATTCATTCTTGACTTTTGCCGGTCTTCCCTCGCATCATTAGCTACAAATAGAGGGCTAGACATACCTGAATACTGCTCTCCTGCTCTATGATGGCATGTGTCCATGATATTAAACAGATTTTTGCCAGCTTAACTTTATATGTCTGGGTTTTTTTTAAATAAATACTTTAAGGGGAAATCAAAACATGCATTGATCTAAGAATTCAGCATTAAAAACATTAAAAATGTTCCATTCTATTAGGCAAACGTGTATATACATATATTTACAAACAGACTTAAAATGCCTATAGCTCTGTACCCCAAGCTACTATGAATCTGTTTTATTATGGATAACAGAAATCATGAGCTTTATTTAAAATTATCACTGCCATCACCAAAAGCTAAAATAATTGACTGTTTCTGTTTTTCCCCAAAGAATGCTAAAAGTTCTTTTATCACATTAAAGGTTAAACTTTCTTAAAAATATAAAACCAATAACATAATTAATATTTTATCCTGATGTAACGTAGAAACTGAACAAATGTTGTAGCTATTGACTAAAAGATATGTCTTAGGGATTTACAAGCCACATATCACCCCAAAGTACATCGTAGGGCAAAAGTACATTTTGGGCCAAGGTAAAAAGTTATGCAAATACTTTATTAAATATGGACTTACTGTGGACTTGTGGTATAGAACCTAAACACATACACAGTACACAGTGCTGTGTACACATACGTAGTACACACATATACACACACGCTACATGCACAGAATGAAAGTGAAAGGAAAGAAGAGGAGGAGAACAAAGACCCCTGAATACTGTTATAACAGAACAAAGTATCTTTAAGGTACCTGGGACATATCCAATTTAGATGGAAGTTAGTTAAATCTGTCCTAATCCTTTTTTGGACATTCATTCAGTCTTCATTCAAAAACCAAAATGAAATAAATGTTTAGAAACATCTGCATTTTAGGTTTGTGGGGTCGGGGTACCTTTGTTCGTTTGTTTTTTGCTTAAAAGGAGTGATTATAATGATGCTGGATATCCAAAACTGTAAAAAAACCCTATAATTGCAGGTTTTCTATCAGAAATATTAAGTCACAGATGCTGCGCATTTAAAGATATAGCAATACAAAAGGTGTTGACCCAATGGGAATGTGTCTCATACTCAGAGAATAAAATTAATCAGCATTTATGTTCATTGGAGCAGGCAGGGAGAGGAAATTACAGGGTTCTCCATGGATAAACAGCTAGAGTGTGTGAGTGCTACATACACATGTATAAATTAATGTCATTTTAAACTGCCATCTCAATAATAAAATTTAGCACTTACTAGGCACCTGTACTACTAAAAGGGGTTCTTCCCTTCCTCTTCAACACTTCATTCATCTATCCAAAAACTGCTTTTTATTACCTTTCAAATCAGATGCTGCTATTAGCAGCAAAACAGAAATATCCCCCCCCCCACTTAACAGCAATGGCAACAAATCCAAATATTTATGCACTGCCAGTAATCAAAACAAAGTTTACAGCTTGTTTTGCAACGTATTTTGATTTGAGATGTTTAGCTGGAAAAAAGTCAGAGGTCATTTAATCAACAACATTGCAATTGTTTTAATGTAACCATCATAAAAACCACAACCCAGACTTTATATGGTGCTTTCTGACAATACACCCTAGAGCATTTTACAAAGGTGTTCAAATGTTCCCCATTCTACAGATGGGAAAGAAGTGGCAGAGATATGAAACAGCCAGACTTAGGCATCAATAGGAACAAACCATTTTCCCAGAAACACAGATCCAGGGATGGCTGCAGTAGTTGCATAACTGTGATGCGAATACAAAAATTTTAAGAGGGCTGAAAATGACAAATGATGCATCTGGGTTGAAACACAGATTTCTCTGCCCCCTTAATCATGTTATTAGTAAACACTACAGTATTCTTCAGCACTATCTGATTAATGTACACAATCTCTATTTGCCTCTTAAACTGTTACTGATTCTGAAATTCAAGGCAAGTTCTGATAGCAGATTGCAGGGGTATAGGTTGTCACCATGTTAGTCTAAGGATATAGGCAGACAAGACTCTTCGGGTTAATCTGATATCTTTTATTAGACCAACTCAAATAGTTGGAAAACTTCTTCCAAGTGTTTTTCCAACTATTTGACTTGGTCTAATAAAAGATATCAGATTTACCCAAAGAACTTTGACAGCAGATAGCAATGCTTTTGTTGCAAATATCAGCAGATGAAGTTCATCAGCTCCCTTCCTCTCCTATTTTTTTTTGATGGTCTTAAATAAGTTACTGCCATTTAAAGAAGAAATCCCAGTTAACTCAGGTCAGATCAAAGTAAAAGGGAAGAAGTTTCAAGGTAGCCACCTTGCCCGTTTCTTCTGGTTTTGCTTCAGTAATCCCTGTTGCTGCAGCCCATTGCATCTGTTTTATAGGCAGTATTTCCCCTTGGAAAATGTGGTCTCCTTTTTGCTATTTGTTTTCTGGTTTTTATAAAAACCAATGTAAATTAACAGATAATAAGACATACATACACTGTCGCAATAAACATGAAGACAAATTGGCTTGAGAGGAGCACAAGAATACTAGGTGGGAGAACATGCAGAAACAAAATACCTGGATTGGCTTCCTTTTCAACAAATTAATTCAACACCAAACCTCACACACTTACACCATGTTGGTATATTAGACAGTACATTTTGTAATGAAATTGGTATTTTTGTTAATAAAATTCTGACATTCTGATCCATCAACATATCTGGAATACCTGTAAGGGAGGTTATGATTTTTACCTGCCATCATACTGTGATGGTTAAGCCTGAGAAATTGTTTTCTGGCAGCAGCTGTAAGTCCCTGCCCTCCCCCCCCACAAAAGAAAAGAAAAAGAAAAAGCCCATTAACATTATGGTAAAAATGTTTTTTTCCAAAGTTAGCCAGTAAGGACTGAAATTACCAAGGTATTTCAGCATGTGCGTAGTTCTCTTGACTGTAGTCAAATTTAAAGTTAGGGATAACCAAGTACCATGTTGAAACAGAATCCTAATACAGAAAATCATTTGATAAAATTGAGAAAAAACCTATTCTGGAGATTATAAAGTTTCCTCAGTCTTTGCATGTCAAGAAAAGTCTTGTAGCAATAATTAGGACAGCAAGCCCACTTTTGTCAGAGGAAAAATCATGTCAGACCAGATGGCAAATTGACTTTTCTGGCAAAATGTACTTGTAACCAGCAGTTTAATCTTCACAAAAACAGAAGTAGACCTAAGTTTGGTAAAAGCACAAAGCATTTCAGAACTGTAACAGCCTTAGGCAAAGAAACTAGGAAACATGTAGCAATTTCTAGAAAAAACTGTTTCTAAACTCTGGGCTCAAAGAGCTGTCTAAAAAGAGCTACAAGACAATGAAAATCCTTTATCTTTGTACAACATTATTAAATAGTCACCCATAAACTTCTTAGTGGTCTTATGGTAAATCCATTTAAAGAACTATACTATACTACTTCCTTAAAAAAAAAAAAAACGAGGATGTTAATTTTTATCACTACTGAAGCAAGATAAAATGAAAGCCTGAAAGATGTTTACTTAAAGTTTGCCTAGGCAGAATTAAAGACAGATATCTTACACTTTTCTTGTCATGGTAAAAACAACTTTTAAGCATTTCAATCACCAAAATCTAGCATATACTCTGGGTCCTAAAACAGAACAAAGCTCAGTCCATGCAACTGATTTACTTCTGTTGATTGTTTATAGTTATTCTTTCACCCTGAAACTTGCATACAACTTATTTGATGTTTGGGCCAAAACTAAACAGCAAAATGTTAATAGATATTTAGTACAAAGAAATGTTACATTTGCACAAAAGAAATTGTTAGTATAGGAAGGCAATATACTATTTTCTCTAAGCAGCTGCAGGGAAATGCATGCTTACAAGTGTCTACAGTGACATACCCCTTGTGTCTGTAGAGACAGAGGTGTGATACGCCGCTTTTCCCATTCATTGGGGCGTGGCTCAGGTGTGGATTCCATGAAATTGCGCTTGAGTTCACTAATGCTAGCCTGATGTTTCAGTAAGTCGTCCTGGGTCTTATCCAGGTCCTAGCAATGTGCAATGTAAAAAAAGTAGGACAAAACACGACAACAAAAGCAAACTTATCCTCAAAAAAAAAATTCAAAACAAGAAAAGTGCCTTTTGTCTAAAGAGCCACTTTTTGGGGGATACTTTTAAATTTTAAAAAATTAGACTACAAAAGACTCAATTTTATTACACTAGAGAGCCACCCTTATCTTATTTCTTTCATGTCTTTGTGCACAGGAAAAAAATGACACTTTCCACTGTTTGGGTTTTTTTGTTTTCAAGCAAAAGGCTATTTTTATCTCAATAGGAAGGCTCCACAGCTTTGGAACAATTGTTATCAAGGGCTGCTGGAGTTTGCTTGAAAGTTAAAGAAACTTAAGCAAAACATACCAGGCCATTTGCTCTATGATAAGTACGGCCAAGCCTCACTGTTAATGGAAGCAAGAAGAACCCAGTGCAGTGACTATCATAAAAACGTAAATATGGCTCTTGATGCCATTAAATTTAAGCCAAAAATAACTATCATTTATGTGGACTCTATGCTAATGGTCCATGGGACAAATAGCTTGACTGCGTAAGGAGTAAGTCCCACTAAAGTCAGCAGAGCTATTCCGTGTGCATAAAGCTGTGCATGCATGTAATTATTTGTAGTATCAGAATCTAAAAATAAATTTAAAAAATAAAAATCAATATTTTTTTCTGTCCTGCATGGAAGGGCAAGACTGCAGTATAGAAATCATGCAGAGGGGTCTGTGCATGTCTTTGGGCGACAGGAGGAATCTCTGAGCTACCATCACATGGGCTACCAGAGAAGGTTGCAGTAAAGGTGGGTAAGTTTCCATTTTTATAAAGACGACTGACACCTCCACTCTGTAATTTGAATTAAACATCCATAGATGAGTTTCAGGTGTATGTGGCTGGGAAGCTGATGTGGGAGTCAGGGATGATGCAGCAACTTCATAATTAGCTAGACCTAGTTTGTGGGCTGAATTTCACCTCCCTAATCCTTTTAAAATGACATTAGCTCTTCAGCCAAATACTTGGGCAGCATGAGAAAGAACAGAAGGCAGAGGCAAATATTATGGTTATATGGATAGTAAATTGGAATACCTTATAGCGGTATAATTCATACCAGTATGGGAGTAGCCAAGCAAGTTAGACACAAATGGCTGCAACTTTAAGTCTGTCAATCAGGGTTAAAATGACAGTACTTTAGGTTTGTTTATGGTACTGGTATAGGAGCAGACAGATGACAGTTAAATTAGAACAGCTGATGCACGCTTCCAAGCACTATGTCGCCCCTTGCCTTTTAATATGATTTAAAGTTACCAGAGCTCACAGTGACAATACAGTCAATAGTTTCTACACCAAAGATCCCCAAAAAATAACTTTGAGTATGCATGCATAAGCATTGTTTGATTTTTACAAGATAAGCAACTGTTCAGCACTTCATTATGAAGCTCAGAGTTCACTGAACGTGCCGATAAATCTCACATTAAAAATATAGCCCTGCATACTGAAAGGACTTGAACTCTGCTTATCTGTAAACTCGATGAATAGCTCTGGTGAAGGGCAACTCTCATAGGATGTGTCTTTAAAACTTACGCTCTTATATGGGAATTATAAAGGAATCATTAAAAAACCCCACAAATATGCACCTTTAAATATCTATCCAGAAAGTTAATTAAACCTGTCTATTTTTAAACAAACAAACAAACATTTTATCTGTTTTTTGGTGAATACAAAGGTATGGATTGTATCACAATCATCCCACAAACCTTAAGTAATATTTATATAACACTGGGAATATTTTAGTAGATCCTAGAAAGAATTATAGTGGCTTAAGACTAGGCACATTTCTTGTATTTGTTCAAAGCCTGATTATGCAGTTTACACTGTTTGTGTTTTAGTATATTATGCAAAAGTAAATTTTGAAAAGTTATCAGAAGCTGCAAAAAGCAACAAAATATATTAGTACGATTACAATAATTAAATCAGAGATAAGATCTTTTGTGACAAAGGGAATTTCTTATAGCCCCATTTGGATGGGCAAACTAGTTAGGTATAAGATAATAATTTTTTTTTTTTTAAAGTTGTTAGTGCCCTTTCAGTTGCTTATCACTTTAAACTACAGGGACTCTACCTAAATACACACTGGCATAACATATTCCACTTAGATTACAGAAACAGCTTTATTAAAGTCAAATATCTCTGTGTAAGTAATGAATAACAGCACTTGGTATTTAAATAGTGCTTTGAGTTCAAAACTTTTTCATAAACATTAATCCTCAAGGAGAATTAATTCTTTAGGAAGATTTCAACAACAAGAAAAATAAAATAGGCATCAAGGACCAGGTTTTTACAAGTATTTACACATTTAAGTCCTTTTAAAAATCTGATCTTAAAGTGACCTGCGCAAAGTCTACAACAAGTCAGTGGCATGGACAGGATTAGAAACTCAGGATGTCCTGCTGGTTATCATTATGTTTATCCCTCCAGAGCATGTCATCCCAAATGTCCACTGCATACATGTGAGAAAAGAAAATGAAAATACTGAGTGAGATCTAGAAGGTGAATCCATCAAGTTATGCATTTGTCTGGTAAGTAAAAATCCAATATTTGGGTACTCAGTAGGCAAATTAATTCATAATTTAAACAGGGCTATTATTCCCAGATGTCACTCTGAAAACATCTAGCAGATATAGTCTCACAAGCTTCTCCTTCATGATAGGAACTAAAGCTTTACAACATGCATTTCCAACTTATATTTCCCCATGCATTTCATGCATAGTGTCCATCACAGCCTGCACGTGACCACCCGTCCCACGCAGCCTAGCAGCAAATGAGAAGAGAAAGTGTTCCTTATATTATATACAAACCTCCAACATTAAATTGCTATGTCTGACATAAATATTTTCCCCGTCTACTTTCAAGGAATTGTTCTGTGAAATTAAACCACACACAAAAAAGAAAGCAAAATGAACATATATGTAGCAGCAAGTAACCAAAAGGGGCCTCAGATTGATAAGATTTAAAAATAAATAATGAGATGAAAAAGCACTATTCAGACAAGGCTAAAGAAGCTTCAAAATACTAACAATAGCAGGCAGCTACATGATTTAACTGAAAAAGGTCATCCACCTTCTGCTGTGTTTCTTCGTCTTTGGGCTCCACCTAGGTTACGTGCATGGCAAATCATCAAAAGAAAAAACCTTTATTAATGAGGGTCTGGAGCAACACACAGAAAGAGTTTGTTTGTTTGTAAATGTTACAAATCACATGCTATACTTACAGACTTTATTCTTTTAGCCTTAGTTACTGCCTATTATCTTTATTGTTTTGGCCTTAATTTTAACCCCAAATTAAGTCACTATGGGCACTTTTACACGTGCTCAGGGAGGAGAAGTTGTGGGGAAACGGAGCTTTAATTAGAGTGCTGCCGCGGCTCGTGTATTAGCATCTTCACATTTCAAAGTGGCATTCGACAAGCTTTAGTTCAAGTGGCCTTGCTGCCATTTTTAATCTGGAAGCACTGATACATAAGAGATAGGAGGCTTCTGGAGTGTGGTAATTGCCACACTCCAACAGACTCGGTTAATCAAGTCTGCTGCATATTGTATGGAATTCCAGCATGTTGGAATAACCTCCAAGCTCATGTATAGGTACCCTTCGGTCTTCCACTTATACCACCACTGTAGAAATAGCTTTTATACACTGAAGCAATGTTTTTATATCAATGAAGCAATGTTTGGCATAGACAAAATGGAAAACATTAGTACCACACTTGCACTCTGTCTCTTTACTGCTGTATTTTTCAGTTTTCTTCCCAGGCTTCTAGAAATTTAAGACAGAGCGCAAGGAAAAAAGCTGAAGTTGCCCAATTCTTGACGTCAAATACATTAGAGAGAAACTCAGAAGTTAAATTCAAAGTGGAGTTTGTATTATGTATTGTTTTTGGTAAAATGGTTAATGATTAATGTCAAACTCCTATATAAGAATACAATTGCTTATTTGTAGATTTTTGCTTAAAAAAATACAGTGAGATCTCAAAGACTAGTATGCTTTTTCAGAACAGGAGTGAACTTTTTAAAAAATTATATCCTGATTACAAGTATATTGAATGCTTATTTAAGGAAATAAATGATCTGAAAATATGCCATAGGCTAAATATCAGTAGCCAGTAGTTCAAAAGGCAGCATCTAGGAAGTCAGCACAGTGCAAGCTCTTAAGCTCTGAAAGATGATTTACTTATTATACTTTTTCCTTATTAGAGTATTATTATTATTGTATGCATATTCTATACTTTGAGAAAGTACATAATATATATGTATCATATTTTCTTGCATTTTCACTTACTTAGGATTTGCTGCAATTTTATGAGAAAAAGGAGAAAATCTTTAGACATCTAAGAGAGTAGGGCTGGAAGGACCTCAGGAGGTCATCTACGTCTAATCACTTGTCTAAGCCATGCCAGACAAGTGTTTGTCTAAACTGCCCTTGAAACCGTCTGAGGATAGAGATTCCACAACTTTTTTAGGTGTGTATTGACATTACTTAGATTTATTTTACTGAATTTATGTTTTTCCTAGTGTTGTGTCACATACTCAAGAGTAACACATATAACACTGAGATAATTACATCATTACCAGCACAACCATTGAAAGAACTGGGCTCCTTCATTGCTCAGCTTCCAGTTAAAAGGTGATCCTGTTTTGCTTCATATTTCCGCTGAAGTTCATATGTAAACTTCCCTTTGACTGTGTGTGGTAGATTTGCCATGACATGCAAAGCAGCCATATGGAGAGTAGGCACTTTTTGTCAGCCAAAGCAGACAAAACATCAGAACATATACACTTCGTGAGACTGATACTTTTGCATAGCAACTTCAGCACATTTCTAAAATATTCGCACTTGTGATGGTTCAAGTCAGTTATGTAACCTGCAATCCAACCTAATAAAAGAAACTAGTCTTCATCTTACCTGCTGCTGAATGTGAACAAAAGCACTAAAAAGCCAGAGAGATCCTTGGACAAAAACACTCAACACTGCACACATGCATGGAAAGCTGAAAACTTACAATTCTAGTGCCTATTTGAAAATGGAAATTACAACAAAAAGCTATTTATAGTGTTCACAATTTGGTGAATTAAAACAAGAGACAGAATTTTAGAAATTTCACTCTACAGATTTTAACAGAACCGACAATAATTGGCTCTACAATGCTATTTCAAAGTTCATGGACTATGATGAAGGCAGAAATGGACATATATGTGTAGTGTAACTTAGGCAATATTGTCAAATAATTGTAAGATGCTTCCCATCCCAAAGTATTTCTAATATGTCTATTCATAAGCTCTCAAAACCTTTCAATTACAAAAAAAAAAAGGTACACAAAGGATATAATCCAATCCAATGCACTGCACCACATACTCATCCAGAAAAATTAGACATTTAAATATTAAAAGACCATTAACTGCATCAGTGGCAAGCTGTCACTAGTAAAAAAAAAAAAAAGTGAGAGGTATCTACAGTTAGTACTAGGAAATGTGCAAGATTGAGGGCATCTCTGTAAACAGATGTCAAATCTATAAGCAGATGCCACCATTTAAGCAACAAAGTTACACACCTCCTCTTTCTCTGTTTTGTCATTTAAGTCATTGTCATAAGCACTCAGTGACTTCACTTTCAGCTCCAGTAGCAGAAGGTCAGAGCAAGAGAAAGGGAAAATGTGAGAGAGAGAGGAACAGACTGGAAAGGAGAGAGAAGCAGCACAAAGATGAGAAGGAATGAGAGGTGATTGGAAAATGGTACTAAATGTTTGGTGGGAGCAAGGAGATGCAAACCTCAGAAGACTAGGATGGCACCATCTTTGTCACGAAGTGAAGAGAAATGTAAAGGACAGCGTTTGTTGAAGCTGAATGAAAACCAACAATCAGCATCAACAAAAACACAAGAAGATGTACAAGAAGAGTGGGGAGAAGGGGAAAGAAACTGGTCATTAGTGAAAACTTTTACTCAAAAATAGGTGTTAGCACTACTAATGTAATACAGATCCCAAACTAAAACTGGAAATCCCCATGTATCTTAAAAGCAGCCAACTTGTCCAGTTTAATGAACTGTGAAACTGAAGACATTGTAGATGTTCAGTTTTAGACTCTGGAGAATTTTGCACTTTTGAACTGTAATAGTACAGCCACTTACAAAAGAAGAGAGCAGACAGACATTCAAAGCTTTGGAGAAAGGTCAGAGAACACAGCAGCACATGAAGGACAAGCAGGCACTTTGATCCTAGGATTTACTACCATTCCCTCTGGAATTTAAAAACAACCAAAAAAGAAAAGAAATAAATCTGTTTTGGGAGGAAAATAAAACCCTGCTGTTTACAGAGCTGGTATATGTAGTAAACTCAACTGAAGAGCTTCAAAAAACATGCAATTCTTTCCAAAATGTTCTCTCCAGTGGATAAAGGATATTTCTTAGTTTTCTACTCTCTCCCATAGTACCACCAATGCATATGTATTTTCCTCGACTGGTTTACATATGTATTTTCCTTGACTGATTTGAAATCCTTCCTTTCCATTTTTTCCCTGTCCTTGTGACAAGGTATTTAGCAGAATTCACAGATTGGTTGAACCTGGTAAAGCCATACTGTGAGTGCTTCTGCTAAGGCCTACTGATCTAAAATTATTCATATGGAGTAATATCAACACGGGACTGCAGATTTGCTGTCACTCAAATAGAGGATAACCATGAACTGCACCATGAGGCTGCATCCAGATATGCAGGGGCCTGTGCTTGCAGCAGCACAAATTGATGCAGTGAACACCTCCTGCATGTGTTCTTTCTTGTGGGGCAAACTGTCCTCAAATGGGCAAACTGCTTTTTCCCAGCTCCTCCTGGCTTTTCAGCCAGGGGGAGCTAGAGGCTGAGGCCAACAGCAGTGCTGGCCCCAGCAGCCTTACCTGGTGGCCTGGAGCAGCAGGGGCACAGGTCAGGCAGCACAGAGGCCTGGCCAGCAGCCAGAGCATGGCCTGGCCTCACATGGCCTGGCTTGTTGTGTAGATGTTACACTGCTTTTTGTTCTGATTTTTTATTTTATTTTACTTCCAGCAAACCCCAGTAGCAAATTTTGGCCGGTACTGCAAATTTGTAGAGCAGGGTACATTTTAACATTTGCAGCATGTGGTTCGTGGTGCCACAAAAAGGTCTGCGGTATCACAAACCACATGCCTGGATGCAACCTGAGACACAACATACTAAGTCTGTCCGTGTGAGACGATTTGGGTACCACTTATCTAAACTGCAAAAAGGATGTTTTCAAAACATGCTGAAAACAGAGAGTTTGGATGGCCAGCCAACAAAATAAGGCTAGATATCTGAAAAAGAAGGCACACTTATCACTGACTTTCAAAGGTTTAAGCTTACATTTTGGAAAGAGGTGTTGCCACAAGTTTTGCTGTAAAAGCAATTAGAGTTTGACTAACTCCTTCAACAAGACAAGTAAATCTGCACTTGCATAAGAATTTCTCCACTATGTGCAAACCAGACTTTCCATGGAAATATGCGTCAATTCTAAATGAACATTCCTTTTTTAAAGCTCAAATGTTTCGGTAACAAATACTAATGCATCAACTTTGAAATCAGCTTGAACAAACCAAAATACATGCAACTAAATAGGCTGTACATAACACTAAAAACCAATTTCTAATAATTTTGCTCAACACAGGAATTAGATAAAATCTAATTTATTTATGGCAGAATTAGTCCAGAAAAAGTTCAGCTCCTACAATTGTATACTGGAATGATTTAAGTAGCACATTATTATGGTAATTAAAATTAACTTGTAGCAACAAAGTGAAAAATTAGAAGATTCAACGTCATACATGCAGATTTGCAATATGTTATTGGTTCCCTTTTGGTTATGTAAAATGTGTGTGTGTGTGCGCGCGCGTGCGTGCGTGCACGCATACCCCCCATATATATTTGATTAAACAGAAAGAAATCTTTTAAACATGTAGGGATAATTTTCAAAGTGGAGTTGTATATCTCTTAAAAATAAGTACAGTAGAACGCATAGTGTTATTGAATAATTTAAATGTTACAGTCAGTCATACCTTTCCATCCTGGGTCAGTTCCAACGGTGGGGATTTAATTGGGCTTCCATCTTCCTCTCTACCTTCCCCATTTTTTAATTTGGCTAGGACAGCAGCTTCATCACCAGTGGGTCCTGCTGTGGTAGCAGAGAAGTCCCTTAGCAGACTTTGGTCTGTAATACCTACGGGAGCTAATAGAGAACACAGAATTTCGGGTATGTTGAAAAGTTTTGTTTTGAGAACTTCTGCCTATATAGTTTCACAACAGCACAGCTATTGAGAGATACCCAGTGCAAAATTGAGAAGCACAAAGAGTTCGCAAAGCCCTAGCAAGATATCAAGTGTATAAGACATCAATCTGTATAAACTGCCATATTTATATCACAGGGTAATCCTCGTGATAGATAGATAGATATATCAAGTATATCATATACATACATACACACACACACACACACACACACACGTATTATTATACACATGTATATCTTTTTTCTGAATATCATATATTATTTTTTATATATGATATTCAGAAAAAAGATAGATGATAATCAAGCATCCATTTTAAAAGTAAAGTTTCTAACTATACTTGCAAGGCTTTTTGAAATCTACTAACGATAGGCTTGGTGGGATTCAATGTTTATTGACAAACATTAATAAACAGCAATTTCATGGCACACTCACAGACCATTGGAAAAATATTTCCATCAGTAATAACGGAAATTTATAGAAAGGGGACTGTAACAGGGAACCCTTACCCCTGCTACTTGACAGTGGATTAGGAGAGCCAGAGGGTGGAGGGTTAAAGAGGAAAACAATGGGAGACCTAATGAGTCATCAATTAAATAATTAGCTTTTTGTTCTGACCTAATGATTAATCCATTAAGCAACTAGCTGCTCATTTACAGGTGCAGGAAACTGGACTGGAGGGAGATAACAGGCTACTTAAACTGCCACCCAAGGGTGGGGAAGGGAGAGGAAGGTACTGGAGGCTCCAGACTGGTGGCAGCAGGGTCCTGCTTGGGCCTGGCAAGCTAAGCTCAGGAGACCAAGGGCAGCAGCAACCTCTCCCAATGTTCCCAGAGCTGTGGAAGTGCTGCTGCCTCTTCTGGTCTCTGCCCACCCAGCTCTTTCCTGATGAATAAATGGAATGATTTAAAGTAGGGACGCTTTACTGATGTATGGATATTTACTTTTTATATTTTGATGCGATTTTATGAAGCTTGTAATAATAAACTGTCATACTAAATTGTCTGCCCCCTACAGCCCTAATGTCATGCAATCCTGAAAATTTAAATGGATAAAAATCACAATAAATGCTTAGAAATAAACATCAATTTTAGCCAGTGAAATATATATACATGGAATTATGTGAAGCCTAGTGGTAAGTGTTATAAATCAAGACTATTTTATTACTCTGATGACAATGTCTTAAGAACAATAAACAACTAGGGTTCATGTGTCCGTGATGTCCACCATGATAAAAAGAATCCATGCGAATAGGTTTCTTATGGCATTCAGTATTTCTGCTTCTGAACCTGTCCCTCAAAAATATCAGGCACTGTAGACATGCATTAAAATACAACACAAAATCGCTATACTTTTTCCATTTCTAAAAGGAGAAAAATATCCCATGTTGAATATATTTATTTCAAAGTCCCTGAAGATTGTGTATCATCTGTTTTACTGTTAATTCTGTATAATAAAATTCACCAGCAGGGGGAGCTCAAAGACCAACTGGCTCAGACCAAAAACCCAGCAATATTTTAGAGACTGGTCTGAACTGTTTGAATGAGTACATCTTTAAGAGAGATACAAGAGGGAAACAAAAAAGGAATAAAAGTACATGGTTAAACAACTGTCAACATTACATAAACCAGGACAAGCTAACAGAAATGTTAGCATGTCATATTGAAGCAGTTCAAGAAGCTGTAAGAATATGAATGTTTTTTAATGGTTCAGTACCATGGTGCTCAACTTTTTGGCCTGAAGGGTTTGAATGAGTGGCCCGGGATCAATCTGTGGGCTGGATTGTGTGCATGGTTGGCACCTGGATTGGGTCCCACACCGCCTGAATCAGGCTCCATACCACCCCAGCTCTGTGCACTTCACTTAGCTTGAAGGAACACACTATGTACCTGCAGAGCTCCTCACAGATCTGTAAATTTGGGAGCTTGGAAGAAGCAACATGGTTCCCTTGCTGCCAAATTTTTCCATTTCCCTTGAGTCAGGTGTTCAGCACTCCGGGTTCAGTAACTTACAAAGGAAACCACAATTATGCAGGGGAGGAAGGGTGGAGAGGAATGAATAATCTGACTATATTGGAAGACACCTAACTATCAAAAGTATTTGCACTCATCCAAAACTGCCTCTGGAAATTGCACTGCACTCTGTCCCACACCAAAGCCAGGACCCGGGGTGATGCGCATTTCACCCAATGTCACATGGTGACACAGCTGTTTCCCTTCATTCAGTGACACCTATTTCTTGCCTTAATTATAAAATAACTATTTGAGAAATGTTTACTGACTTAATATAAAGCAAGAAGAGATGATTTATGTGCATGGAAGGAGGTTGTCAAAATGGCTAGTAAAGTGAAAGAGAGACCTAGGGTCTCACTGTCATTTTCTCTTTTTGAAAATCTTTTCCCTTCCCCTAATAATTTTTCAATCTAATTTCATCTTATATTAAGACTCTAATTTACCAAAGTGGATCAACAAAGATCACTTCTACAAATATTATTGCCTGGTAGAAATCCACCATACCAGTCTTTATGTAGCAATTGAATTCTATTTATTCTGTCATACACAAAAAGAACCAACATTCCCAATTCAATTATTAAATTGTTAAATTTAAAATGGCAAAAGCAGAAACTCCAAATGTAGCATGCCAAACAAAATACCATTACTCATCCACTTATTTTGCAGTAACTGATTCTTCAAAATTTGATGGATTTCTGAATGATCCCTAAGTAGTGAGGGGGAGGATTGGGTGTGTATACAACTAAATATTATAGCTTCATCATTGGGACATTGTGTTGAGAAATACAATGCAGGTGCTCCTAAGAGATCATCTGCAAGTCAAGCAAATTTTTTTTTTTTTTTAAAAGAAGGGCAAGAGCCACAAGGTGAGGGAAAAGGGTAAAGTTCCATGTAGATTAATCCAAACTTGAGGCCTCATATTTGATGTTGGTGTGATTGGCCAGGTTTAAGTGCGACATTAGAACAATTGGGCCTTTGTACACGCAACAAAATTGGCCTTTAAAGCAGCTGAATTGCCCTTTTCTACCGTTTTAATCGTATTGCTATTTACACCCCCCAGTGGTGTATTCTGTTTTAATGGCATTGCTACTTACACGCTTGGTGGTGTATTCCACTTTAAATGACTTTGTAATGTAGCAAGGCAAAACCTATCTACAGTGTTTTAGTTTGCTACCTAATAAAGTGCAATGGTGCACAGGACACTGGAAGCCAACGTGCTTGGGGAAGCTTGGGCTTGGCGGCCTTCTAGCACCCCAAGCACCATCCCTGCCTCCTTCTCACGCCGCCAGCATACCCAGCTGCCCTTCTGCCGCCTTGCAGCTCTGCCCCATGTGCAAGTCAGCTGTTGTCGGGTGGTTCCAGGCGGCTGGAAGGCAGTGGGAATGGTGCATGGGGGGCTGGACCTGCCTCTCCTGCGGTTGGGAGGGGGGGGCTTGTTGGCAGGTTGTGCAGTCCCTGAGCTGTGGGTGGCCCCAGTACTTCCCTCCACTGTGGTGGTGCCCCCCAGGTGCCACATACCCACTAGCCTGGGCGGTCCCAGTGGGGCACCGCCACCATGGAGGGAAGCACTGAGCCCCGTGTAGCTCAGGGGCTGTGCGACCTGGAGGCAGTTCAATTGGAGGAAAAACAAGCAAAAAAAAAAAAAGTGGAGAGGAGCCCGATCTTTTTTTTTCCTCCCAGAACCTGCCTGCCTGCCTGAGCTGTCTCAGCTGCCTGAGCTGCCTGAGCCTGGTGATTAAGTTGGAGACTGGAAGACCAGACTGTGGCTATGGGGGTGGTATGGAGGCCAAACGGGCACCTAAGAAGCACCCAGAATAAAGCCCTGCAAGGGTTGGAGACTAGAAGGGGCTAGGATGCAAAACTAGTCTGAGATGGGCAAAACCGGATCCAGCGGCCCAAGCAGCTTGAGCAGGGTAAAACTAGGGCTGGCGGCCAGAAGCCAAGGTCTGAGAAAGGGGGCCAGAGCTGAGAAGTCTGAAGCCCCAACAAAGGTTTGAGACCTAAGGGGCCAATGCTGTTTGGGGACCAGGGAGCATCTCGTAAGTGATACCAAGTAGCATCTGCCAGGCATGGGTGTAGCTACAGGGGAGGATGGAGGCCACAATTAATGCCACTAAGGTGGCTTGTGCCCTAAGGCACAAATAGAGACAGGAGGGCTGCAATTTAGTGCCCAAAGGGGCAAGACTAAGGCAAAATGGGACTCACTCTAGGACCCTGGGGTAACCACCCTAAACGGTATAAAGATTTCATCAAGGCATGGCAGGGAAGAGAAAAGGGAGGGTACCTCAAGGAGCCAGAGTGGGATAGGAGCTGCGTGGCCACCCAGGGACATCACAACCACCCCTGAGGCCTAGACCTTTCTAAAACTACCTAACTTGCAAACTGAATTTCATAAGGTTTAGACAATAACATTCTCCAAATCCAGGTCAGAATTTTCTAAATGGAGTAACTGAAGAGAGAAAGCAACAAGATGAAATCAAACCATTACATTCAGTAAATAATATCCCTTATAATAAATTCTTACCCCCATCAAGACTCCTGGAGATACGCTTGCTTGAGGTACGCTCAAAATATGGGGCTGGTCTATCTATAAGGTTGCTAGCTTGCCGTGTCTGTGCTTGCGTGCGACCGCTGTAACGGAACTTGGAACCCAAGGTCAGGAATTTTGCCTTCGCAGGCTGTTCTGGTGATATCAGTCTATTTAAAAAAAAAAGAACAAAGGTAAATTTTTCCAGTGGTATGAAATACTTTAGCACAGCACTTCACAGCTATCTGCTACCTTGCAATGCAAAATAATTAGGATGGGAATACTGTTCAACAATTAGGGCACAGACAGAAGTGACAATTTTTGCCCAAGCTGGCCACAGAAAGTGCTTTATAGTCATGACCAAACAAGTGCATGGCTACAGAATGCTTAGAAAATGGCTGATCACGCAAAATCTGAATCCTTAATGCATGAGGAATCAGGTGAAGATGTTTCAAAACAGTGTCTTCTGTAACTCTTGTCTGCACTGCCTGCCAGCCTGTCACTATTTTCAGAATGGAAGGGGGGAAAAGGAGCAGAGGGAGTTTGGTATGAGGTTTTTTCAGTTCCTGCTCTAACTCACTAATCCTAGAATAAGTTCCCTCTCCTCCCTTTCCCTGCCTCCCATTCTCAAACTGGGACAGGCTGGGAGAGAGGAGAGGCCGTTGCTAAGGTTCCCCACCTTGAACTAATAGTGAACTTCTGTTTGGTCCAGGGGAACACTGCAACTCAGAATACATCCTGCAAAGTGTTCTCAGTTACAGCAGGGAGCTGCACTTGTGTCTGCACCCTTAAATATTAAGCTTCAGACAAAACAGTCATTAATGGTAGAACTTGGGGATGCTACACAGTGCAGAGGAACAGATGCCTTATGTACCAAAGCCATGCGTTAATTTCCATTTCCATCCAGGATCGCAACTAATCCAATCTTCAGAAGTGGCAACAGATACCACAAAATCTCAGAAATGTTAGTAGGCTTAACTGCTATGGGCTCTGCAAATGGCCAAAAAAAAAAAACACAAACAAAATTGGCATTCCTGTCCAAACAAGATGGCCAATTAGGGCTCACTGGTTGTACTTGCCCAGCTAGAAAAATTGGCTGCTGAGAACAATAACAACCAAAGCACTTGAATGGTCAGAATTCAACTGACTGTACTTTTAATTGACTCCTTTCTGTATGCACTGACAGGATGGATGAGAGAAGCTCAAAGGTAAATATCAACAGGTACAAAAGGGTTTCTTCAGATGAAGAGAAACCTTAAGAATGTTCCCTAATATTAACCCTAACCTGGCAGACTTCAGGGGGAGCTCTTAAGAGCTGTACCGTTATCCGAAGGAACAGAAAAAGGAAAACTCACATAAATTAGTTTCCTAAAAAAGTACTTAGTCCAGGGCTGGGCAATTATTTTGGCTGGTGGGCCACTTAACAAGTTTCAGCAAGTTGTCAAGGGCCGTACACATAAAATCTTTCAGAAGATATTTTAACAAATTATAGATAAAAAAAAAAATCACATAATAAAAATCAAACATCTACTATAACATTTTAAATTTTATTGGAAAAATAAGTTTTATCCTGGTTTATGTTTTTTGAGTAGTGCATATAGAGACAATTGCACAATCACTCAAAATAAAGTTTTACTCTTGTATATTGTGTGCATGTGGGGATGGAGAAGCAGGGTTGTGTGTGGGGCCTCCACAGACATTTTAGATCAATTTTTCAATTATAAATTACTGTAACCTCAGATAGATATCTTGATGTCTCACATCAGGGAACGAATTGGGATAGGAAGAATATGAAAATGGAGAGTGCCCATAGGCCAGATGGCATCTGTACTGAGAAAATGCCTGAAGTGTTTACTGAGTTATTTTTGGATTATCTTTCTCCTTTCATCAAAAAGAACCCTAATATCAGTTATTCATACACCAGGAAAGAGTAGAGGCTTCAGGGAGTGAGATTTTAAAGACCTGAAGAATATCTAGATTTCTCAAAAAAATTGAAATGTTTTGAGAGTTAGAAAATGGTTGATCCTAGCAGGTCAAACACTTCAAGGCTACAACTTGTTGCCAGTTACTGACAGGGAACAGAGAGTGAGTAATATAGCCCCCCTACTGCCACTTGTTATGCTCCAACACAAGACCTTGTACAGGAGATGGTGTCATGTGTGGCCCTGACAGATGATAACACTCAAACATCTGGTTTTGAATGTATACACACCTACAGTGGGATCTACTGTCATGCATCTATTAAGAAAACTGAGCTTTCTAAAGAAAGGGCTATCCATTATATCTTCCTATGCTTAGGCAATAGATTTCCAAAACATCTTGAACTTCTTCACTTGTTTGTGTGAGTAGTCTTATACCAGAAACTTAGGTAGATGATTTCCATAAATTCTCATTGACAATAATATATATGGCTTAGTCCATCTGTCTGTCTCTCTGTAACACTCTTGGGGGGACGGGGAATGTTGCTCCTGGCAGGGCATTGCTCCAGCCAGTGCTGCATCAAGAATGCCCATCAAGAATATCAGGGAGGCCAGGTGGATGCAGAGTGTGTGTGTGGGGGGTGGCGCTCTATCCCCTCCCCCCACCATTCTTGATAGGCATTTCACTAGTATACGATAAAAATACTACTTGGAGTGGGGAGAAAAATGCTTAGCACATTTTTCCAGGAGTCCTACTGCTCTTTGTTTTCCGCTGTTGGCAAGGCTATAGCATTAAATTGCCATTTTTAACCTCTACCCTGCTGAGATAAACTTTTAATCTCCTTAATAAAGAAAAACCAAGAGAACTAATTACTTCCTGATTAAGGGCAATTTATATTACAGGCTTAACTACATAGAAAAACGGAATTACTGTTAAACCATTGCAAGAAGTCCTGAGAAAGCTGCAAATAAAATAAAATAAAATCTTTAATAAGGCATTACACAACAAAGTTTTGTGAAAGATATCCACATACCCAAAGATACGTAAAAATATCATGTGCTCAAACACTAGGGATGGGAGACAGAGCTGAGGACTAAACTGCACCTGATCCAGTTTGGTAATATTTCTTTAAAGTGATTTTAAAGAATCCTGCATAGGTCTGACTTGCATAAGCTGTCTAGGCACAGATAAACATTCAGCTGGATTGTTTTTTAAATGGGGAAGGAGAACTGATGGCTGGGAGCTAACTACTACATGTGCACAAGCCTGTAGTGATACAAGGAAGCTAAACCTGTTCCCCACCCCTCTGCCAGCTTTTTACCTGGATGGAACAGTTAAAATTAGAAATGATTTTGCTACCTTTGAATTGTCACAGGCTCCTGAACATGGACCAGGGAGAGCATAGCAGCTGCTATGCAGTGCCTGAAGGCTTGTCCATGCTCTCTGTTGCCTTCTTTTATAAAGCTTGTTTTCATATTTAACAGTGTGTGTATGAAGTTTGAGAAGTCACCTTTCAAACTATGAGAGAAACCATTTAAAATACCAAGCTTATGTTAATATGAGGCTTAAGTTTATCTTCAGATAAGCAATGATTAAAATGAAATAAATGTAGGTTATGGCTTACTTGCCTTGTAGAGTTTTAGTTAGATCTGAAAGTTATTTGTGTATTTGACTTATATGCAAAGTTTATGGTAATGTGGAGTGTACTCAACCTGCATCATGAACTAGGAAGAATATTACAATTTCTTGAGATGTGACAAGGTTAAATTGGAGTGGTGACACACAACCTGACATTGCAGGATGAAAACAGAGAATTAATTTATTTCATTATTTTTAAATCCGGATGAGATGTTCTAAGATTCTCTGCCTGGTGACATCAGTAGGAGTACAGAAATTTTAAAGAATGCTGTTATCTTCTCTTTTCGTTTGTTAAATTGCCTCTATTGACCAGAGAAAACGACTTCTGACTGGAATATAATTAATTCCATTAGGTCAGTTTTTCTATGAAAAAGCATTCTTAACAAAATGTCATTGAAAATATTTGCAGTTTCAATTACCTTTTTCCTTCTAAGCTGATCAAAGTATCACAGCCTTTCCTCCAGTAATAAAATAAAAATGACCTAATAAGGACTGAATTATTACAACAGCAAAAATTACTTGAGGATGACAATCTACTATACCTATCTTGCTGAGACCTATGATGCATATCTATCATGGTGTTTATAGTAATGTATTAAACTAGCAAAAAATTTGTTTTGAGATAATAATATATTGCATATTGGCAAGTATATTATATTCATTATTAAGCCTACCAAATTTTATATGCTGCAGTTTATAGTTTCAGCAAGTTTAACATCTGACACACTGATTTTGCTATGATTGCCTAGACAATGCTTTCAAAAAAGCCTTCTAAATTATATATACTTAGTGATTTATGGTCATATCTCATTGAAAATCCTAACACTGCAAATAGCTTACTGTGAACTTCTTTAAAAAAACTAGCGATGGGTTTGCATGCCTGCAGAGAAAAAAATCTGGTTTCTTCTACTGAGTAACACAATAGAGCACAGGCTACACAAATCACAACCCCACTCACGACAAAATGGCCATCTAAGAAAAATAGTTCAATTATTTAACTGCATTTCTATTCAGCCAAAGGATTTTAAGAATATATACTTGTTCACTGGGATGTTTTTACATTTTCCACTTATGCCAAAAGGTAGCAGGGTCTAAGAAACAGAGAGGACAATGTCTGTTCAGGATTTACTAATAGGATGACAAATAGCGGTGTTCATGAGGTACATGTATTCCAGAGCATTTTTCTTCTTCTCAAACTGAACACAATGAAGCATGTAACATTTTATTTGCAAGGAAAGCAAGCATTTGGTAAGGAGAATTGTTCTCTCATCATAATAGACTGCCTGTATAAAAACACAGGCTGTCCTATTTGGGAGCAGATTCTGGGCTTTTATACTGGAGGTGAACAACTGATGATGTATATAGCATGATTTCCAGTGTACGTGTGTTCAGGAGAAATTTTCTAGCTTTTGAAAGTAAAACGTTTCTTGAAAGCCTGGAATGACTAACTGGATCTCTTAATACAATTCACAAACATGTATATTACAGGACTCAGTATCATAACATCATTGGGGGAAAAAACAACAACATCCTGGGATGTATTAACAGGAGCGCCATATACAAATCACAGAAAATTATTTTCCCCTCTATCAGAGCTGGTGAGACATCTCTGTCTCATTTTGGGCGGCATAAAGATGCAGACAAATTGGAAAGTGCAGAGGAGAACAGCAGAAATTACTAGCGGTCTAGACACCATAACATACATGGAAAGCTTGGGAGAATTAGGATTATTTACTCTAGAGACACTGGAGGGGGAATCTGATTAGTCTTGATATATAAAAAAGGTTGTTATAAAGAGGGTGGTGATCAACTGTTCCATAGGCCCACAAGGCTGTAAACCAGTGGTTCCCGACCTAGTTAAACTCAAGTCATGTTCAACAGATGTCGCACTTCTCTGGGAAGAAAGCTTTCTGTTCCAGAATCCAACAGATGTTCGCGCACACAGGTATTGCTTCAACTACCTGTGAAATATGTCAGATAAAACAGGCTTAACGCTTCTTCCTGAAACATCACTGTGTGGGTCTGCAAGTTAATTGCTGCTCATTTAACTCAACTGATTCCAGGGACAAGCAAGTCAGGCTGCGTGTCCTCTTAGGCCACCTATTCGGAAGAGCTACATGTGTAAAGGACTGTCATTCCTGTTTTGTTCCAAGTAAAAACCTGGAAGAATCAGGACGGCCTCAAATGAGATGCCTGTTTAAAGCCAAAGGGACAGGACAGGACGTCAACTGGAACAAGAGAGATTTAGGTTGAATCTTAGGAAAGATGTTTTAGCTATTGAAAGTGGTTAAGCACTATAATGAATTATTAGGGTGACTGTGGAATCTATCACTGGAAGCTTTTAAGTACAACAACATTTGTCTGGGATGGCATGAACGGGAATGTTTCTGCCTTGACCAAGGATTTAAATAGTTGACCCCCTCTGTAGTCTCCTCTGCAAGATTTTTAAGTGGATTTTTATATCCTGTTAGAAAATACATGTTTATAAAAACATGCACAGCCATGATATTGAATTATTTGCATCTATAGGAGCTGTTGTGAAAAGACTGAATGCATTTTGGCATGCTTAAGCAATCTCTTGCTAATACACACTGACATTACATATAGCCTGTTTTGGTTTTTTTTAAGGCTGGATAGGCATCTGGCTGGAGTCATCTGACCCCAGCACACTTTCCTGCTCAGGCAGGCAGTTGGACTCAATGATCTGTTGAGGTCCCTTCTGACCCTAGCATCTATGAAATTATAGTTACACAGCACCCTGCAAAAGGATGGTCATGTGCTTAGCAAGACCTCATGTCCAGACTGCAGTTTTAGGTTCAAAAAACAACCTAGGTGTCTAAAATAAGTCTTAGGTAGATTTAAGATATCAACAGCCAAAATTTCTAGCAAAAACACCACACAACATCTGCCTAATCCTGGAGACACATCATTGACCTAACACTTTTTTTGCTGTGTAAATGCCCAAGAAAGGGTCAAGTCTGAGTAACCTGGTACTTATGTCCCACCTAAGTCTAATCAAATTCCACAACCTATGGCTGGAGCCAGCTATCATTGCTGGACCACCGTTGACAAAACATTTTATGACAGCACAAAGACCAAGAAAGCAGACCTCTGTACCCCTTATTGTGCCACAAATGCCCAAAATTTGAGGCTGTGACAAAGGTGGTAATAGTTTCTGCCACTTTATTGCAGCAGATGACTGTTGGTTTTATGACTGCATTTTCCAGGTGACCCAGACAAGTGCACCTGGGGCCTGATCACGCACACAATAGGAATTTCCACTCAAGATAGGCCCCTTCAAGTCCCAGAAGTGCCTGCCTGGCTTTCTCTCTTACAGAGAAATGCCACAGGAAATCTCCAAGGCCCATCTCTGTGGCCACATCTACGTGAGACGCTAACTACGCAGTAGCTTGTTACTACTGAGCAGTAGCTTCGTGTGGCAGGAAGCGTGACACAACGCTACTAGGCAGTAGTAATGAGCTACTGTGCAGTCAGCGTCACAAAAAAAGCTGTTCGTGGACACTACTGTACAGTAACTCTGCTCATTTAGTACCTGTTTATACAAGTACTAAATGACTGCGTAGTCAGTCTCAGTTTCATGTAGACACAGCCTGTAAGCAGGGATTAAGCCCTGCCCAGTGCAAGACAATGGGCGACATGCATTTTGCCCAACAAAGACGACATCATCATAGCCAATCCACTTCATTTGGCGATTTATGTTTATGCTCTAGATATTCTCCTTAGTCTCCACTGGGGCCTAATTTCGTAGGTATGACCAAAGCACATCAAACCACAGCTACCATCTCCCAGAAGAGTTGCTTTAATCCCCAAGGTATAGGCTAGACTGGGAGGGAGGGAGGGGATAGAATTCCCTTCCTCCTGTTGTGGTTGTACCACTATGCAGCAAAGGAGGCCAAATTCATGGACCAACAAAAAAAAAGCACAAGAGGCAGCATAACTCAGTAGTCTAATAGTTAAAGCTGGGAGAGAGGAGATCGGAGTTCTAGTTCATTTTTCCAGGTGCTATTTCACTGGGATAAAATATAGACACACTGATAGATCACACTATAAAAGGTGCGCACCCTCACTATTGGCAACCATTAACAAAAATTTGAAAGATTTATACTGTCTTCATTGCAAGTTTATATGGGCAAGTAGGAATAATCTATTGAAACTGAAATGTAATGGTTAATGAAAGTTAAGACATAAGAAATAAATAGTGCAGGATCAGTGATTCAGGTAGTATATTTCAATAAAAGGACTGGATTTAGATTGCAAAGCAAGCAAAGAAACACAGTTTTCCACTTTTCATTCTCTTTCTTCCCCCAGTCCTGAGGACAGTTTTTTAAAAGAAAGAATGTAAGACTGATCATTTACCTGAAGAAAGTATGGTGCTCCACACAAACCTTCCATAACCTTTTAGCAGCCCGATGGTTTGGCAGTTTGAACCCAATAGTGCTCTCAAATTGTTCCAACTGGAAAGAATCCACAAACTAAATTAACACATTTCCTTAAAGCTGGTTATTAGCTACATTAGCAGGCTGAGTTCAGACATTTCCATTACTGTGACAAGCAGTAATTTTCCATTCTTGAGATACAAAAAAAATATCAGCGTTTCCATCCTTTTAATTAAATTACACTGGGTAGACTGCTCATGTAGTGTAATAAACACATTATCACTTCCAATCTGTACTAATGATGATTCTTTCAGAGTCAATAATGCCTTGCTGTTCTTTGCATGTTTCCTATTTAGCTGCCCAAAAATGATGATGATCATCATTATCATTATTATTTTTAGTGAAAAGGCAACTGTACTGAAAATTGTAGTCATCAAGTACATTGTTTCCTTGTTCTCCCCGCTTGCTTGATAGCACTCTAAATACTATACTAGTTTCAATCTTAAATGGAACATTAATGTCATTCAAACTGCCTAAGCCAAACGAATACATTTATACAACTAAAAGATAGGCAGGTAGATAGACAAAACACCTGCCTGAGAATTAAAAAAAAGCAAAACCCCAAGGTTTGTTTGGTAGTATTTTTTATTAGACAAACTATGCGATAGGAAGAAATATTATAGTTTTCAGCCACAAACTGCCCTTCCTCAGGTTGGTGAAAGAAGCAAATACTAGATTTTACAGTTTCACATGAAATCACAACAATCTAAACAGGGGGAAACATCTTTCAATTTAGCTTTTAAACTATCTATGACCAAAGACATTTCAACATTGCTACAGTTAATGCCATTTTATGTACAAACTACTTATATTCACATACATTTAACTGACTTCAAAATGACATTTTGCCTTCAAGTACTTTTAGGTATCTCCTTTAATATCTCTTTAAACCAAACAGGATTAAAATTTAAATATCTTCCTTAATCGTAAAAGGATCTGGAAATTGTTTTGTAAACTCTAAGCAGTAAAAAAGTAAAACACTTATAAGGCTGTGTGTGCTCTAAAAGCTTCTTTTGTTTAAGGTAACAACAGCAGAAAAGTTAAGTTATTTTCTTAAATATACCCCAGTATTTCACAATCAAAGACAGAGAAAAGTAATTAGCCATGTTAGTTTGATCAGGGAAGGCAGGCTAGATTTGCACCTTATGGACTAACTAATTCAGAGATGTATAAATTTTTGCAAGCAGCATGGGCAGATGTAGGATTTTGAGAAGGGGGGTACAGATGGTATGGTGCATTTTTTCTCCAGGAAACTAGCTGCTAGTGGCCTAGAGCTCTATTATTCCGTTTAATATCGAAGCAAAAATAAATACAATTTTATTGGAATGTGCATTAATTTCCTATAGGTATTTTGTTATATTATCAACACAACAAACTAGTCAATTCTAAAAAGATGCTGTTTCTTTAGTCCTATAATCTTTAGAATTAACCATACATTTCTTTCAGATTCACAAACAAAAATCAAGCCTCCTTGAGCCTTGACTGGGTAATCCAGGCTTCACTGAAAATTATTCCCACACCTGAGTTAATGTTTCTAACTAGGGTTAAAAACACTTTGCAGGGCTGTGAAACAGGAGCAACATTACCAGGAACAACAAAATTGCAAAAGAAGGAATAGCCTAATTAGCGGAACGTTAAGACCATTACAAAAGGAGAAAGGTTTGTTAACACCTGTGGAATGAAGAGTTTAGAAGGAATCAGGCAGTTAATAATAAGCCATGAAGTTAAATGAGTCCTACACTGCTGCCTGAATAGAAATGCTGCTGCCACTGCCAAGCAGTTGATTTTAAATTGTGGGTGGAATAAGAATCAAAGGGGGCCGCAACAGCACCACCACACCCCTCCTCTCATCCTCCCCTAGAAAGCAATGATTAGAATACAAAAGATTAATTTTACCTCATCACTTCCTTACCTTTTGTATTCTAATCACTGCTTTCTATTTACAAGCTCTGCTTCCTACAGTCCCTTCACAATATGCAGTAAAGTAAGCTGTCTTAACTTGTTTATTAATATAACTGCAGGCAATGGAGACAGCCACTACTTACCTCAGCTGGCCTGACTTTGATATAGAAGTTGCTGCGTTTATAGGAGATTTTCAAAATTTTGGGCCAAGCAAAGCGATTGATTCTAAGTCTGTCCTTGTAAATAAGTAGACCATTAGCACATACCCCCAGCATGATATCCACACCTTCAGAATCCTACAAGAAGGGGGGGAAAAAAGTTTTAGACAGAAAACCTTAAATACTTATTTTACAGGTAGTTATTATTTTAATACACCAGGAAGGAATAATGAAGATTAAACAAGTTTTATGCTACAGGATGGAATGCAACCAAAAGGTTCTCAACAAAAAGAAAATACTATGTTTTTCCATCTTACAGAAACAAGCCTAGGGCTCCTGCAATAATCCGTCATCATGTACACAAAGATGCTTGTTACACACTCCATTATTATGGTGAAAAGACATTAAAAAGTTAGATCACCAACTGATCACCAGGAGAGATTAATGAATAATGATAAATACTAAAGGATATATTAAAGGGAAAGGAATGAAAAATGCAATGTCTTTAATACTTTAGCTACTTTATGAAATAGATATATTTCCATACATATTTGGTTACATCTAGTTTTATTACCTACTATTGCAGTAAAGATGTAGAATATAGCGTATATTTTGTTGACACTGGGTGCATCTACATGAGATGTTCACTGCTAACTTGCCTAATTAGCTCTGCAGGAAAATGTTGCCGTTTACACAAGCAGTAGTATTAGGCTAAAGTAAACTAATTTTACTGCACTGCAGACTAGTACTGCCCAACACAAGTACTATTCTATGGCAGAGTTATTTACTCCACTGCAAGAGATGGAGTAAATGCATGTGTAGATGGTGACCAGAGCTGACTGAGACATGGACATGACACTGTGGGGCTGCCTGCTGGCTAGCCCTGCACTGTAGCACCCTCGGGCCCCAGACAGCCCCTCCACAGCACGTTGAGCTGGGCAGGGGCAACCCGAGGCTGGTAGGCTGACCCCCTGAGCCTCATGCCAGCTGGGGCTATACCACCCTGGGTCAATGTGCTTCAGTCCCAGGCGCACATGTAAATGCTGTGTCCAGGAGCAATAAACTCTTGCATGAACTGTGCTGGAGTTTATTGTGTTGAATTAATTTCACATGTAGATGCACCCACTGTTACCTTAGCCACTTCGAAGTGCTCATACACAGAGCCAAAATGATTATGCTGTGGGAAGCAAAGTGACAGTCTGAGCTTAGTTTAGCAGCTTACAGAAGCAAATATTTACTGATAAGGAGCTTACATAACATAAACCTTGAAAAACTGACTTCCTACATTATAACAATAAATCTTCATGTCCTCCCAAACAAGCAACCAACAGTCATATGAAGTGCTGACACACTGTTGTCATTAACAGCAGTTTGGCTAGCAGAAGTCTAAAACTAGCAATCTGATCAAGTAATATTAGTTCTTTTCAGAACTTTCACCTGCTACCCTTTCACATGCACCCTTAAGAAACACTACAGGGTAAAAAATTCAAGACAAGAGTGGTACAATGCACTTTAAAAGGTTACAGGAATGATCTTGCAGACACATCTGTACACCCTCAGCAAATACAAGTGTACATTAGAGATGTGTTTTAGAACTGGGAAAAGGCCACCAATGCTATTAAACAAATATGGCTGCGAGAGGCAACTACTTCCAAGGTGTTCAAAATTAAATATTTTTAAAATATTTTCTTTTAAGAAAAAGAGTAGCTGTATATAAACAAAATGTATGCTCTTTTTAAATATAGCCCTTAGTTCATTAAATTAATATTGCCACTGACTTTGAGATCATTTTATGTCAATTGCATAACATGAATTTGTGTATTTTTCAAAGTTTAGGTGGCAACAGAATACAAAGATCAGTTCCAACAGCATAGACCAGGGATAACTACAAATGTTGTCTACAACAGTGTAGACCAGGGATGACTATGGTATACTACAAATGCCTTAAGTGGCATGGGCAGCCGGTGTGTGGCGTGCAGAAGATTGGAGAGGGGGCAGGAGCCACAGTGGCAGACAGGGCAAGGAGTAGAAAACAGAACATATTAAGCAAGAAGAACAGGGCAGAGAGCAGAAAACAGAACAGACTGGGCTGAGAAAGGGGACTGGAGTGGCACTGCTGGTACAGGGCTTACTTTGTGGCATACCCGCCAAAAAGGTTGGCCCCCACTTGTCTAGAGTAAAAAAATCTGTACGTAACTCTTACTAGAATTTAAACAGGCAGACACTATAAAACCATTTAAGACTCAAATTTTCAACTCCAAGCCTCTATCACTGGTATCAAACACATGACATTTACATTAATTTGTTTGATCTTAAGAATCAGGAACATTTCTTTTTTAACCTGTGATTTTGTGACCACATACTAAATAATGCCAATATGAAGAAAAATGCTCATGGTCCTCAGACTGGCAAGACATGTAAACCGAATAATTACCATGGCTTGCTACATAGCATAAAATACCAGATGAAGGGCTTAAGTTTCAATATCCTAGATGGCAGGAGCAGCTCCACACTGTCTAGCCATAGGAGCCAAACAGGAGCAGCCCTGCCCTGCCCTACAATAAGAATCAGGTGCAGGGACTCAACAGCAATAGTTGGGGTCTTTGTATCCCTGAGGCATGTACAACTGAATACCCTTCTTCTTCCTGCCTCTCTCCTCTATCTTGTGTTCAGCAAGCTCCACCCTAGGGCACAAAACCTGTTAGTTACACCTCTATCTGCTACAGTGATAAGTGCATCTTTCAGAAGAGAGAGGTCAATACCTTGGCATGATGTAAATCCACTCCATACATGGAAAGTCTCTTGGCATTTTCTAGGAACTGAGAATCTGCTTGTGCTGGAGTCAAGCCCCTGGAACCATTAAAAAGATCCTTGAGCTCATTGGCAAAAATATTAAGATTTATAAAATTTAATTAGGGTACCTGCATTTAGGGAAACGTTTCAATGTGGTGTGTGGGGGGGGAAGGGTCTAAAGGGTGCATTTATCTGGATTGCTCCCTTTGATATCCTTTAAGAATTACCTTCCATTAGGTCATTACCTTTCATTTTCCCCTAAGTCCAACACAGTAATTTTGCTTTTTCTTACAAGTAAACTTTGCCGTATGTTATTAGACAGAATATATGTTAATAAGGACAAATCATGACCCTACTAGAGGCAATGGGCGTTTCATTCCTTATACAGTTCAGAATTTTCTCCTGAATTTAGAATTTCTGATAAAATGTTAATCACTAGAAGGTAACAAGAATATTCTTCTCTGCTGTCAGCATATTTATTTAAGGAATTAGACACGTTACTATATACTCAGTTAGCAGACGGCATTTTGGTATTTAGCCGTTAAGACAAAGTAAAATGTACATTATGTTTTTCCTGAAAGCAAGCGTGAATTCACTTTCTCCCCATAATGGGACCTGAATCCCATTTGAATGTAAATCATGAAACAGCTCTTGATAATCAAAGTAAATAATTTAAAAATAGATTGTGAAGGTAGCTAGTGTAGAGATTCCTGAACAATTATGGAGTACTTAAGGTAAAATTTCATATTTTGAATACTTTCTTCACTCTCTTCAAAACGCCTTTAAGCAAATGCCACCAAAGTTTGTTAAAAAACAAGTAAAAAACATGCATCATGAATTCTAGGTTCACTTGCTACATACACTTAAGAGCCTATGATTAAGGCCAGATGATTGCTTATTCTATTTTCAGTCTCTGAATATAAAATTCTTCAAAATAGAGTAGAAAACCCCTCCCATTGGAAATATTTATTACTACTACTCATCTGACTTTTGATGGAAAGCTTTCTAAATGGCTTTAATAAACACAAGGACAATAAGGAGACTATGTACTGATGCAACTTCTATGCTAGTGTATGAAAAAAGAACAAACTGGTATATGTCACTGCTATAAAAACTTTTCATTGGTAATAAAACTTCAATGTTTTCATAAAATGTGTATTGTCCAGAGAGGGTACAAATGTGACTAAAAAGCATGCAAATATCACTCCCCCCACACTATGTTAGACATACCTATGTGTCTTGTGCAGTTCAACTACTTTGTCCTCCATCTCTTTCGTTTGATTGGGGGCAAACTGAAATTCGCTGATGTAATCACTGTTATGCTCTTCTGGATCATAATCACCTAGCTCGGCCTGCAGGGTATATGAACCAAGGAGGGCATGAGTCACAAACGAACATGGCAGTCGACCAGAAACAATATCCTGACGAAGCTGTAAGCACAAGAAATATCTGCAAGAAAAAGGGAAAAGAAATTAGTTACTTATGGCAAATACATGTACAAAGGTAAACCAAAACATATGGTTCCAAAAACACCATTTAAAAAAAATAAAACGTACTAAAAACAAGTGCGTAGTGATAAACTTCTGTTTTTGATAGTTCTTCTCCTTATAAAACACAGACTTGAAGTCAACAGTTTTAAGGTGTTGACATAGCTTTCATAAACATTTTGAAAAGGTGACAAAAATTCCACTTCCTACAGGAACTGCTCAATAGTGCATTTGTAGCCTGTGAAAACAGTTCACTTACCAACTTTGTCATTTTCATTGTCAGGCTTGCAGGAATCAAATTTCAAACTGTATAAAAAATTAAATGCTTTCCCTTTAAAACTAAAGTTTCATATTAACAACGCAATAATCTATCTAAGTTTATTATCAGTCATTTCTATGCAATCCAGTTAGCTTGTCAAGCTGTGCAACATAACATTACCCACCAAATTTATTCAAATTCAAGATAAAGTATTTTCCCCCCAATCAGTATGGGGGATGGAGGGGAGAGCCTGGTCTTGGATTTGAGTAGTGGCCCAGGGCAGGAGGCAACTCAGCACTGGATTTGGTCCTGGGCTTGGAGCCAAGGCTGGGCTGATCTGCTGCCTGCCTTGGGGCTGGAGTAGCTTGTTTGGCAGAGAAGGGGGCACACAACTGAGCATGGCGGGCAGGGGGGAAGACCATGGGGTGTGGGAAGGAACCTACAGCCTTAGCCCCAAGCCCTTGCCCCCCATGCCTCTGCCTGCCCCCCACCCCTTGCCTCCCTCCCCCCTCGAGCTGTCCCCTCCCACCTTACTTTCTGCTCCCACTACAGTCCCTCCAGTCCAGGCCCAGCTGGGAGCTGTTGCCACTTCTCCCTGGCTGGACCAGGGCCATATTGTTGATGACTGCCCCAGAGGAGCAGAGTTGCAGCAGAAAGTAAGGGAGGGGGACAGTAGGCAGTATGGGGAGCCGGCATAATGGGGTGGGGGCCAGAGGTGGGGAGGCAGGATACAGGGAAGAGTGTGCGTGTGGGGCAGGATGCAGAGGGGAGAGGGTGGGGGTCAGGTACAGCCATGGTGCGAGTCAGGCACAGGCATGGAGGAGACAAAGGCAAGGGTCTGATGCCTCTCTGCCCACCCCCGCACCCCTCGCCACACACCCCCATTGTTTTCTTTGCAATGGGAGGATGACTTTAAGATGACCACCCCACCAAATAGATTCTATACATGGAAAGTTATAAAAATATATAATGTTTAATTTATGGAATATAATTATTGCGGCTGGGGGGAGATCGTCTTAAATTTGCAGTTGTCTTGGATTTGGGTAAATGCATCAGTAAGACAGTATACAGATGTATCTTCAAACTAGTCATATCAACATGAGAATTAAATTTATCTTGTTTTGTAACGTCCTGTGTTTTGTAAATCTACATACCACATATACAAATTGACATATGATATGTAAGCCCCAATTAAAATGTTTCTTTTCCCCGCCGTTTTAAGTGTATAATAAAACTCAAATGATAGGGAATATAGAACATTAAGATATAATCAGTATAAACACTACTTACATTAACTAAGCACATATTCTAAAAACCATTTTTTTAAGTGTGGGCATAACTTACTTTATATGAATTAAATATGGAAACACAGTGGCCTCAAGCTCTACATGTAGTCATATCATCAATAATAAACTGTTTATCTATTTCGATTTGCATATATTTGAAATAAAATTTTAAGTGAACACTTATAAGAAGTGAAGCAGTGTAAATGGGGGGTTACATAAGTGAAAAAATTTCTAAGTTCTAGGATAGCAACATCTCTCCTGAAAACTGCAGGCTATCTAGATTCCAGTCTATAAAATGAGGTGTGGGAAAGCACAAACGATTTATATTATAATCCAAATGGCCAAGGACAAGTTAGTATGGTTGTGAGTTATAGCTGCAAAGTTATGGTTATGGTTCCAGGTCATTGTCAATGCAGTTGGGCAAGTAGCCGCACACATTGATTCACCTATCATCCAGGCAAAACAAAATGCAACCATGATAAAGAGGCAGGTGGCAACTGTTAAATACTTAGGAAGGATCATAGGCCATTCTGGGGAATATTTGAGAGCTGCGGATGTTCATGCAGCTGCAGATAACACCATGTTTGGTGTCAGTTGCCTTTTTATAAGCATCACAGTGGAAATTGAAAACCTACAGAATCATGGCTATACTAACTTTGTTATTACAAAGTTCCGAGGAAAGCTGAGGACCAGGGGATTGATGTTTTGGATTCCTGTTACTTGATACTGAATGGTAGGACAATATGAACAATGAACCCGGTAACTGCCTCCACCGGTGGGACAATGGTATTAAGGTACAGAATGGATGTAACCATAAAATAACAAAGGATAACAATTCTGGTATAATTCCTTATTTTTGTATTTGTATTCAACAATACATTTATAGGTCCTTGTGTTTGCTTATAAAGAATTTGTAATGAAAACAATTCAGTGCCCTTGAGTTCACCGGAAGACTCATTCCCTATAATCGAAAACAATGGTAGCCTCTCATAATCCACTAGCTCCTAGATCTCACCTTTCATAGGGTCATTACCTTCTGTGGTATTTTTTTCTCTCCTCCACTGTATCCATTTTTACTTCCACTCTCCTCATGCTCCTATTTCTATTTTCTCCCCCTTCTTTTTGGCACCTTTTCCTACTGCAGTTGGCCTCTGTTTCCCATTTGTGAACTCTCCGATAGGCTTTACTCAGATCCATTTAATTTTAGGGCAGGCAGAAGCTCAGAGAAATATCAAGAACCCTCAATCTCTAGTATAGCAGTGCAAAAGCATTCAAGAGCTAGCTTGAGACTCAGGCCCAGAATAAGTATCTCTACTACCTCTTAAGCCTTGAGACTCTGTTCCTATTCTATATTATTCATAAACATAATTAAGTAAAAGTAAACAAAATTAAACAAAACCCCCCCTCTGTTTTGAACTTTCAAAATTCAGGATAAAAATTTCTGATTTGAAGAGCATGTAATAAAAACTATAGCAATTTTGAAGTTTTATTTTAAATTGCGCTTACCTGGTAATGTCTTCTGTCAACTGAGAAGGGTCAGGAGGATAAAACTTTACATGAAATGTGAAGAGCCAAGGCAAATCTGAAAATGGAAAATGTCTGACTGTTAATTCTATGAGAGTCTTTTACTGAAGAAGTTAAAACATGAATGTAAGTCATAATGGCTGAAATGCTAGTAACATCAATGAATGCCAAATCAGCAAACTCAAGACATTTTGAAGTTAAATGGTAAGGGGGAGTTAACAGAATGGAAAGGTAGCTGTAAAGTACTTCACTTACTGGACATACTTAAACCAAGAAAATATTTCATTTCATGAAAAGACAGAATCAGACATACATTATAGGTTCTCCCATATTACGAAATACTTTAACAAAATAGTGGAGCAGGTCACTGTGAATGGAAAAAAAATTATGCTAAGCTTTGAAGACTAGAAAACCAAGCCTTAAGATTGTTCAGATCTATAAGCAGTTATTCTTTCTCTATGCTGAGTGACAACTATGTTATTCAATAACTCATTTGTTTCAAGATAAAGACTTCCTAGAGGGAACAGCAGGTTGATCATGTTGGACAAAACAACAACAGCAAAAAAACCCCAAACAAACCCAAACAAAACACACAAAGCATAAAACCCCAGTATTTTATAGCAGCCTGTATTTAAGAGTTAAAAATGTAACTTATCAGACCCTTTGTTAGTTTTCCTTAGATATCCATAGAATTCTATGTTTTGCTCATATGGCAGCCTTAAGAAACATTATTCTTTAGCGAATATATAGAAATGTCTTAAGAAATAAATTTAAACAGCAAAATAACAGTATGAATGACAGCACTGGGCTTGTCCGTTCCTACACTGAGGGCGTGTCTACACGTGTATTTACGCTGGCTTAAATTTACTGCACAGTAAGTTACTGCGCAGTAAGTAAGAACAGGCCAGTGTCTACATGTGCAGGTGTTAGAGCACATTAACGCTACGCGTGGACTGACCTGGGACTAAAGTTAGTCCCAAGTCAGTCCACACACATAGTGTTACTGTGCTTTAAGGTGTCTACATATGCATTACTGCACAGTAACTAAATCGGGCACAAATGTAATACCTACATGATGCAGGTATCAAATTTATACTCAAGTCAGTGTAAATTGCTAGATTTACTGCATAGTATGGGTGTGCACATATAGAAACCTGCCGCTACTGGGCAGTGATTTTGGTTACTGTGCAGCAAATGTGCATGTGTAGACACATCTGAAAATCTGTGTCTGCAAGGGCAAAAAGCAGAAGTCGTTCCACCACTTTGAGAGTAAATTTGGAGAGTTGTTTTACTGCATAGCTGCAGAATAAAATTAATTGCTTTGACCATATATACTTTAATTCAACTACTTTTGCTCAGATCTATAGATGAACAATTCAGCTATTCAGAGTTGCATGCTATACATGGTACCTCTTTTCTAATGAAGTATAGAAGTAGCATGCAGATATAAAATGTAATCATTACTTATTTGCATACCATCTGCAACTCCCTCCCTGAAAACAAGTCATTCAAAACCATATTGCATGTTTTAAGCAGGGAAACTGATTTTTTTCAATCCATTCTTTAAAAACAAGATCTGTGTCTTATTTGCAGGTTTGATGTGTGACTAAATGCAGCATGTCTGATTAAGTTGTTCTGAGTGTTACTATTTAGTTCATAGGGTTTTGTGGATAAAGGGTTTAAAATGTAGCCAGTACATCAATGTTGCCTATTCTTAAAAAAACCCAAAAATGTCAAATGGTTCAGATACTGTTGAACAATGTGGGAATGAGGAGAAAAATCTCACGCTTAAGTTCACCATCACTCACATGAAGTAAAATCCAAGAAAAAGCTGACAGTTCATCTTTTAATATATTTTAAAACAAAAGTATTTGAACTCTTTTTATTTATATCATGTCACCTATAAAGCAATAAATATGAAACTTTAAAAGAAAATCAAAAAAAATTATAAGCATGGTTTAAGAAAGATTTCTGTTCTTCATTTTTAAAAACAAAAACATATCTAGACTTATTTTTATTTGCCAAACCATGGATTATTGAAAAAATAATGTTTGATATAAAAGACAATGGGGTCGGGAAGCAGCCAGAGCTTATCTTCTCAGGCTTCTCTGATTTGCATACCTTGTGGCACCCTTCAAAGGATCTTGCGTCCCCCAAATGGTTCAGATACTGTTGAACAATGTGGAAATGAGGATAAAAATCTCATTGATTTGATGCCCCAGTTGAGAATCATTGATCTAGCATATGAATAGCAGTGAATTTGGCAAGATATGCAACACTGCTTGCACTACTCCAAGGCATGAAGCAAGTACAGCTAAAGAAAGAATGAATACCTAATGGCCATTAATGGGTCAAATGAAAATATAATATGATCATCATTTAATACATCACTACTAAATGAGAGCTATAAGCAACTGAAGTAGGTTAATCAATTCTCCCCCTGAAAATTAGCTTCACTTTAGTAAAAACAGCTAATGTTTAATTATATTCAAAAAGAAAAGTCAAATCTGCATGAACTTATATAAACAGTGAATCTGAAAATTTTGCTTCAGTTATGCAGAAATGCACACAAGCTTGCAGCTCAAATATCTCAGCCTTCTGTGAGAAAACAATGGTAAATATAGCCTTATACATGGTACCGCATGAAAAATGCACAAGTGAAGAAAATCAAGTTTCTAATGAAAAATACATAAAAAGGCAAGTATAAATACAAATACTTCATAAAAAAAAGAAGTGAAAGAACACAAAGGGAAGAGTCATCGTAATGAAAGCAAAAGCCACCTGTCGAGCTAATTAGCATTTCCATTTTTGGCATATAAAAGATCTATAATTAGTTATTAGCAAGCAGATTTAACTACGGAAAGAAATGAAACAGCAGTTCCCCTCTGCTGTACTTCGGAGTGAGGGTTTGAAGTGGTGATTTTGGGGATTCTTTGGTTGACAATTGCTTGCAAATGCAGGGGACTAGAATCAAAGGCCCAGGAGGCCCTTTCCAGTCCCATATTCCTAGAGGAGGAGGATTTTTCACAATGATTTTTGATATGGACTCCCAGAACTTGGCTGGGATGGTTCAGTCAAGGATGATCCTACCTTGAGCAGGAGGCTGAGCTAGATGACCTCATGAAACCCTTTCCAGCCCTATTTTTCTGTGATCCTACTGTGCATCTCTTAGGTTTTATTTCTCTATAAGGCTCAGTATTACAACAGTGTTCTGGTTACTTTTAAATCCTGTTTACATGAAAAATGGCTAATACCTGGTTAATCTGCAAGGACAGACAAAGAAAAACTGATCTGTACTGTTTCAGAAAACCGTGCTTGACTTGTTCTTTTATGCAGGTTTATTTAAACAGATTTCTACAGGGTTTTCTGAAATTATGCTTAGTGTTCTTCCTTACTTACACTTGCGGTTAATCCAGACCCTGGTGAGTTTATGCCTAATCTAGCTATGGTTCATGTTGTCAAACAACACACACATATTATATATTCTATCTTAGTACATATTATATAGTAGGGACAGTCTTTAGAAAGCTCTTAGAAACCAGAAGGCCTCAATTTCATTTCTGTTTAACAGAAACCTATCTTCTGTGTCATGGTAAAGTGCAAAAATTCTCAGGGAGTACAAGTCTCTGGAATATTAGGGAATTCCTGGCACACATTTTTATTACACATATTAATTACCACAATTTATTAAGATTCTAAGCCATAACTAGAATTCAATCAGGGTGTTTAAAATGACAGATTAACCACTTTGCATCACACAGTCTTCTTGCCTTCTTATATTTTACTTAGTATCTAGAATCTGCCCACTACGGTTCTGAACATGAACCAGTGAATGTAAATTAAATGTTTATGGTCTGTTTCTTTTACTTCTAAATTTCTCTAGCTCGTGCATATAGCAAGGTAACAAAAGTTACATATAGTTATGTTTTTTGTAGTTAACAGTGTATACTTTGACACTGACATTATAAACTGCTAGTCAAGGTAAAAAAAAATATTCTGAGCTTTAAAATACTTAGCATTTTGTCCCTGCTAGGGCTCTCTGTTTTTGATTCTTAATAACATGGGCTATAGAAATGTCAAGAATTTGTCTAGCCAACTTGCTACCTCAAAAATGCTTCAGAAGCAACATTAGACACATTCTTAGAGAAAAAGAATGCAACAACCAACAGTGCACAATTAACGTGATTCATCCCATCCACACTGGGTAATAATCAGTGTTTTGTCTCAATAAGGGCATTTTTGTATCTTCCACCATTGACATATACGCTGTTTCCATAGCTAAGTTTTGGGGCAGTGAGAGACATGAATGGACAAAACTAATGGTACACAAGCAGTTGCAAAAAGGAAACTGCTTTACAATAGCCTCCCCCCCAACAGTGATCTAAGGACTGGGAAGAACTATTTCAGTCCTTGTTTTTAAAAACCTACACACACCCAGTCCAATCAGCCTATCCCCATATGAACCATTTTCCATCCCTCTTCTCATTCATTTCACCACATTTGGTACAAGCACTATATCTTCACCAATATCCACCATTTTCAAGCTTCTTGTCACTCCACTGGAATTCATTTTATACTGAATCTTACCATGCTAACACACAACATGCACTTAAAATCTTATTTTCCCACTCTGAACAGTGCATTTCAATTCTATTTACTATTACACTAAGGCTAGGTACAGGCATTAAAAAAACCCAAAGCAATGTAAGTTACACAGTTGTCAGTAGTTTAGAAAGGTAGTGAACAGAACACATATTCGCTCTTTGGTGGGGAAGGTGGGGGGACAAATCTTAGATCAGGTTCTGCCATTTTTAAAACTGTGCGCGCTGAACTTCTGTTCTGATATGGGTATAGACTGGTTTCTGATCACTTATACCGATAAAAGTATTGTGTCTGTAGTTTGTCGATAAAGTCATATAAGACTGCCTTGTGTATCTCTTGATGCATGGGGCCTTTATAGCCATTCTTACTAGCACTGAATCAAAATCAAGAGATCTAAAACCCAGGGTTTAATATCTTAAACCTGCAACTCATACAGCATAAAGTCAAAGTATTACC